TATGCAAAACCAACTATGGAAACCCATGTCGGCAAATATGGCAACCCGTGTGTTCAGGGAAACCCGTGGTGTCAATTATGGAAATCCGTGCATGTAATTATGGAAACCCGTATCGGCAACTATGGAAACCCGCGCCAAACAATTACGGAAACCTGGACTCAATTATGGAAACCCGTGTTGAATTATGGAATCCCGTGTTTCCCGCAAACATGAGGTAATTAGCTCATAGCTGATTTTCCCACCATGCCGAAACAAAATGGTTCATCATACCGAAACGACATGGTTTAAATATTGAAACATTTGTGTCAAATATCGAACCACTGCGGTAAATACCGAAACGGAATAATTTTACACATTTACACGGGTACGAAGCTATATGGTTTAGTATTTCAATGAATCGTCCAGCAACTCTATAACTTGCAGCGCTATATCGTCCAATAACCCTATACTTATTTCTCTATACTCCCTCGTGCCCTTTAACCCCCTGAAAAATACATCAACTTATGTTTTTTCTCCAACGTCATATTATTTTTATTGGGGGGCGACAGCAAACCTGACGTTTCACCATGCATATGCCAAAACGCGCATCCAACACGAAACGGCTATGGCCCGCAGTCTTGCGAAAACCTTACGAAAACCACAACCAACGGCCACTGGGCTTTACAACTACAACAAGAAATTATCACGTACTCCGTGCGGGAAACACAAGTTCGTATTATTCAGCGAAAATCTGCGGATCCGAATTTCGATTGCTGACAGAACTGTTTCTATTCTGACAAACGGGTTCGCAATATTGCCGTCGACCGGTATTAGATTTTGGTGATTCTCTTGTCTATTGACTTCACGTATGTGTCCTTACCGATAAGGCACACGAACATTATGGAACACAACACATCATTGTCGGATATTCCGGTTCCTCGGCTTATTTTTGCTCTTCCTTTGGCCCATCGCAGCAATAACCGGAATGCAGGAATGCACGCGTCGACCCATTCTGGCCTTCTCCCATGCATGTTGATTACAAAACGACGGGATTGTGATGTCGTGCAAATAACAACCGCTGCTGCTGTCATCGACGCACACAACATGAAACAAATGTCTGACCCATCCCCAAAAATGTCTGAATGGGAATGCAGCGTGGATGCAAAACAAAACCAGGTGGGCTCTGGACACATCGACATACCCAAAAAATAATTGCATCCGAATGTGGAAATGATGTCGGCGAGATCCGCAACTCTCAAACTACTGCTCACTTATCGAACTCCGTTAAAGCAGGGCGAACATATGCAGAATCATTCGCTGGCCCAATGGGCCAGTAACAACTTTGGAATACATCTAGTTCGCGCGCGCGCCTGCACCCCCGTCACAGATGGCACGCGGTCCCCGTCACGGATGCCGGAACTCCTGGTGACTGCTTGCGGGGCCTTCCAGAGCGTCTCAAGAGGCATCCCAAGCGCCCCCAGGAGGCCCTCAAGGGCCCCTAAGACTGCTAAACAGGAGCCCCCCGGGAACCCTCCGAAGAGACACCATGAAATATCCATGAGAACTCTCACCCATAACCGCAGCAGCGCCGACCAGCAGGGCCGGCCGCATGGCCCACGAACGCGCACGCAACGTCACCGATGGTCCAATACGGACCGGCGGAATGAGTGAAGCGATTACGTAAATGAAATTACGTGGAGTGGAGGACGTGGGAAAGGGAAAGGGAGGAGAGGGAAGAGAAAGGCAACTGGCGGGAAGTCGTAAGAGGCAGGCGAGAGGAGATAATGATCTGCCACAGTGCGCTTCGATAGCCTAGAGAGACATGCGTTCGAGCGTGCACCTTTCAACGTCGTTATTTCGACACACCATAGACTCGTTGGGAGAAACCGCATCAGCTCGTGTTTGTGCACGCTGGCCAATGCGTAGCTGAGTCGTGCTACCGCGCAAGGATACTCCATACGAATCGTAACATAGGTAGCTGCGCGCAAGCGCCTTCCCCTGTGTGCATCTGTAAACTTATGTAGAATACATGCTCCACGTGCGCTCCCTTGCTTACTGGAAGCCTCGCTTGCAATCCAACGTTTCTCTGCATCCGATTACCCCGTAGCGGATCGGGGGCGACACGGCCAGAAACAATACCACCCAAACTGTGGTCGTCAAAACTCGTGCATTATTTGTCCCGCAAGCTCCGCTCTCGGCCGGCTTGAAGCACACCAGACTAGACGAGGCAAAACAATATTTAGATGTGGACAAACAATGTGGGATCAACAGCTACTAAACCGTTACCCAACCTATCTCGCAACAACTTGCAATACATCGAAGCTGCACCGAACGTTTCGGTGGTTTCTCACTGCATCCTTCTCAACATTTTGCTTGGGCTCTTGTGAAACCGCCCTTCCCAACACCGCGCGATACTGTATCAGGAAGGGAGCAACATGCGGCAAGGAATTCCTCAGTTGGTTGGTGGGGCGGGTATCGAGCTCTCCAATAGCGGCCTGGCTAGCCCGCTATCCACGCGGAGGCAGGGCAGATGAGGAATCAGATTCCCTTCGCTGCCACTTCTCGTTCTCCCAAACTCCTGCTGGCAACATGTTGCTGCCTTGCCTCCTGGTTATCAGCCACCTTGCCCCCTGGCATATTGAGGCGTGGTAGAATGCCAAGGGCTGTCTGGTAGGGTTTCTGTATTCCCCCAAGAGACCACCCGTTCTTCTCGCAGAGTGTCGCATGCACCGCTCCCCCTCCCCCCAAGCCAAGATCCCTCGTACACGAATTGTGGATCCGCGCTCCCAAAGCCACGCTCGTTCGCAGAAAATGATAGGTCTGCGCTCCCGAGCTTGCAAGACGGCAGGGGCAGGCAACCAGGGCCGCCAAGATGATCGCCCAAGATGACCCTGAGACGGCCCAAAAGGACGACCAGAAGACCCCAGGTAAGTCACAATCATCAGTTCCCCTTTGGGATTTCAAGGGTTTGGGCGTCTTCGCCTTGTCGGCTTCTTGCAACTCCAGGCGGCCCTAGAGGCCGCCAAGATGGCCCCAAGCTGGCCCAACAAACCACCGTTGCCCAACAACCCTCGACGACGGCAGCAAGACAGCCCAAGAGGGCTTGACGGCCCAGGACGGCCCCAAGAGAGGCTGGAGCACGAGGGCCTGGACGGCCGCACGACGGCCCTCTCAAGAGACCCCCTAACCAGACCAAGATGGCCCTACGACGGTCCAAGAGAAGCCCAAGACGCCCGACGACGGCCCCAAGATGGTCCAAGAGGGTCCCAAGGGACCCCCACGACTGCCCAACAGAAGCCCAAGACAGCTCCAAGGCAGCCCAAATAAGCTCCATGAGAGCCCCTCAAGAAATGACGACGAAAGGTGTCACATGTGACAATCTTCGTTGCTCGAAGCGCTGTCCCACAACGGGCTGAGCTGGCATGGTGGTCCGACTTGCCGCAGGCACTTGGATATTCATGAAACATCCCTTGCTCCTTCAAGCTTAGCGTGCCTCATAGCCACGGTTCCTACATTTTCGGACGTGCCGCATTGTCAATAAAACAAACTTGCGACGATCATATTTTCACACCGTCCCTGTCGGGCCCGTCAAACATTGAAACGTGTTCCGTCCCCGATGATCCTGCCTCCGTCGTCATGTCCCTGTACTTGATATTCCAATCGTTTACCCTCTCCGTCTCCCCCTCGCTCTCCTTCGCTATCTTTTTCCCTCAACCCTCTCCCTCAGACCCTCCACGTTTCTGCATCATGAGGGGGGAGGACGAACCACCCATGCCACCACACACCCGAAAACAATGCGACCTGCGTGACCCCAATTTGGGGTTTCATTGTGTGATTCAAGCGCAAAGCAATACGATGCAACGAAATGCCATGCAAGGGAACACAATGTATGGCACTGCACGGCAAGGCATAACACTCTGTAGAACATCATGACACAACGCCGCGTTGCATTGAATGCTACGCTGTAATGCCATGCCATATCATGCTACGCTATGCTGTGCGACATGACGCGGTATGCAACAATGTGTGCATTCTGCGACGCTGCGCTACGATGTACTATGCAACATCATGCAACTGTATGCATTGATGTCCCACGATGTCTAATCCTACTTACACCGCGATGGTACGATGCGCAATACACTGATAACTACTAATGTTTGTCGGTGTCATGCTTCGCAAGCATGGCTCACCTTGCCATTCCTTTGCATGGCATAAACTAGAACTGCCATGATATATCAATGCAGTCGTTCCCCTAGCGCGACATATCTTTGCATAGCATGTAGCCCAACAAAACGCAGTGTACCACTGAACATAAAAACGCAACGCAAACTCGCAACACATACCATTGCACAACCTGGAGCATACGAATGTTGCGTTGTATAACAAAACACGCCATGCCGAACAAACAATGAACAGCACATATCGTGCAATTGCTTATACCCTCTTAGAACGCTTTCCATGGGCATCATCCGTGACACTTGCGCCCTTGGAGGGATGGGGGAAGGTGGTGTCGGCGGTTCAAATATTGGGCCCTGAAGGACGGGCCCCTAAAGATATGTAAGGGATCCCAAGCTGAACCTTCACGGTTTGCGGCCACTCGTTCGTGGGGCCCCATGCCTCAGGGGCTCATCTTTAAGAGCCGCCAAAGGGGGAGGGGGAGGAGGAGGAAAGAGGATGAGGATGAGGATGAGGATGATGATGACAAAGCGGGAAGGAAGAGGAGGAAGGGAACGCTACGGGCACGTGCCTGTCGGACCAATGGTATAGCACTGACTCTAAAACACGCGACGACATGTCATTCTGGGGAAACGCGAAGACCCATGAGAACGCTATCGTCCGCTACCGGCACGCCCAATACCGTGACATACCCAAACTGAGTGAATACATCTAAGCGTCTAAGCTGTCAATAGAATATATGCTAGCGCTGCATAGCAAATCGTGGCATAACACTGGGTAGCGAAGCGTTGCATATCGCGGCATGGCTCAACTGAGGAAAACCATACCACACACACATACCATACCACACAACCAACGCAACACACTCGCAAACAACAGAGGCAAGGAGCCGGCACCCGGGTCGCGAGGATCCAGGTGGGTCAGAAAAGGCCCCTGGCACCGTATCTCTACACAGGGCAATCAAGAGCCACCCAGGGGAGCCTAATTGAGGAAAACGTTCGCCAGGTCGCTCCACAATTGTCGACGAGATCTTATGGAGAATCCCTGGCGTTGTGGCCTCTCGGAGGGGACCCAAGACACGCGGTGGGCCTTGGTATCTCCCTCTGCCACGGGAATCGGAGTCCTGCTGCCGTCTTGCAGTCACCAACCACGCCCTTTCCCAAACCGAGGGTCGCGACTGCTTTCCATAACTCTCGTGAACAAACACAAAATAACTTGTTTGATAATATTATGTCTGAACTACTGGCGATAATAACTCTATGCAAGAACTGCTGCCGCAGATGATTCAACAGAGCTGCGGTCTGCCACCATCTGGTTTTTTCGGTGCAAGCAAACGTCGCATCGCACAAGAGACAACGACATCTCGAAAACATCACGCTGACTCCGACTATCCGAACCCCTGCAGAAGAGTTATCAGCTTCACTGGAAGAGGGAATCAACGAAATAGGAGCAAGAACGCCACAATGAGCAGGGAGGGAACCATGCTGTGGCCAACGAACAGCTTACATTGATCTGTCGCGCTGCGTCAATTTACGCCCCTCTCGTCACGACCCGCTGCCCGCGTCCCCCGTCGACTCCCCCGCCACCCATCAGCCTGAGAAACCTTGTCCGGCTTCGGTAGCGATAGAAGCCCTGAGAGATAATTTGCGAATGCCGCAGCTTCGCGTCGCGTGCTGCAGGAATGCCATGGTCGCATGTGCCCTCTAGAACCGTCAAATGCTCGTTAGCGTTGAACCTGCCAAACACTGCGACAATATGATAATACCCTGTTGTTGCATGACCCGTCTCTTCTCTCCGGGTGCAAACCACAATGAACTATGGATTCCATTGTTTGTCCGGCGAAGGTGCAGATGCCGAACAACGAACGCGCTGAGTATCTGACGCCAGCATATCCGGTGCTCGGAGTGCTGTAGACGGGCAAATTGTAATAAGTGAATCGCCAGAGTGGTTGCTCGAGAACGACCACTCCATGTTCACAGCGCGGACGGTAAGGATCTCAAAATACATACATCACGGTTCTGCAGCCACCCGATTGGGGCGATGATGGAAGACATCAGAACAACCATGTGTGTGATTGTGCGCAACGTGCGCAGTGTTACACAGCCGGGAACATCTATAATGAAATCAACAATACGATTGTCTTGAATGATCTGCAGACGACAGCGCCCAAAAAGGATCATTCAGTGACATTCGCCTTTCAACGTTGGCAGCGTGCGCAGGCGTGCACCATGGCCCAGGTTATTGATATGCCATGCTTTGGCTTGCGCGCCCGGTGGCGACATTGGGAGGCGGACGCCATTTAATGCCCGGGTGCTCTTCCGAGTTGATCCTTCAAAGGGCCGCTGACGTGGGCGGTTCCACGTTCTGCCGTGCGACTTCATTCGCACGGTCGGATTGCTAACGTGCGCCGCACAATGCAGACGAAACGTATTTCCGTAGCATGGACAGGCGGATGTCACTTCATGCGAAGGGCCCCGCCTGGTCTGATTCAACATCGTTTCGGTTTCCATCCCTGTGCCACTTCTGTTATACACTTTTCTCACGGGGATAAATACATCTGCCTCAATATTGGGTTTCCGCACGATTCTCTTTCGTCTGTTAGCGTGCCGCCCTGTGGGTCCTGTGGAACGTGTGCCCCTGTGTGACTTGTGCGACATGTGGGGCCTGCGAAACATGCGGGGCCTGGACGACTTGCGGGATCGGTGGGTCTTGCGGTGCCTGTGCGACCTGTGCGACTTGCGAAACCTGTGGGAGCTGTGGGGCCTGTAAGCATGTGCGGCCTGTGTGAAACCTCGGCCTCGTTAGGACCTGCGAGACCTGCGGGGCCTGTAGGGCTTGCGGGGGCCTCGGGGCTTGTGGGACCTGTGGGACTTGTGGGACCTGCGAAACCTGTGGGGGCCGCGATACCTGTGAGGCGTGTGAAAGTTGTGCGACCTGTGAGGTCTGGGGGACCTGTGAGGCTGACGAGACCAATGGGGCCTGTGGGACATTGTCAAATGAACCGTGCTGACGACCGAGCGGGGTGCGGGTTCTATTATGTAAATTCACGCGCAAGATGCAGTTTGGGTTGGTCGGCAATCCCACTTAACGTTCGGGCGGGTGCGGGTTGGATGTGTAAATTTCATGCACGGAGCGCAATTTACGCGAAGTGCGTCCCGTGTGATTTTACACACTGAATTGGCCGACGCCCGATCGTTAAAAAGGGGGTCCCTGGGCAACGGGACGTGCGTCTCGTATATGAATTTATGCAGTGAACCTAAACCCGCCCGCATCCAATCGCATCCAATCGTTAAGTAGTTTCGCCATACATCGAACATTTGCCGCCATGATCGGACTTTCACGGTGGGCTCGCTCCCGCCCGGTGGGGACTTGCGTCCAACAGCGACGGGCGGCTCCTGGGCCCCAGGCGCAGCCGTTGTTGCCCAAAACGGGGGACGACGACGACGATGACGACGACGACGATGACGACGACCGCGGAGACGTCGACGAGGGCGACGACGATGGCGACCACGACGACAGCGACGACGACGACGATTACGACAACGACGGGGGCCACAGCGACCACGGCGACCACGACGAAGACGACATGCGTTCTCGCCTCATCGCCGGCTACTGCTTAGCTCTCGCTCCTCTGGCGAAACATCATCAGCGTCCTCGCTCGCCTCCTCCTTCTAATCCTCCTGCTCTTCCACCCTCCTCGTCCGGGCACTGCAATCAGCGCGGGTGCGCGGTCGTCGTTCTGCAATCCCAACCGGCGGCGCTCCTATTCCGACCGCAGGGCGGGCCGACGAGGAAACGCGGGTCAAAGGCGGAACGGGGACAGGCCGGAAAGCGAGGAGCCGAGGAGCGAGAAAGGTAGGGGGCGAGGGAGGGACGACGACAGTAAATGACAGACCGGGCCGACGGACGAAGGGGCGGGAGACGGAGAGAGGCAGCCAAGCAGGGAGAGAGAGAGAGAGAGAGAGAGAGAGAGAGAGAGAGAGAGAGAGAGAGAGAGAGAGAGAGAGAGAGAGAGAGAGAGAGAGAGAGAGAGAGAGAGAGAGAGAGAGAGAAAGAGAGAGAAAGAGAGAGAGAGGGAGAGGACACGACGCACAAGGGGGAGGACGCGCGAGGGCGAATGGGGGAGGGCACGGAGAGAGGGAGGGGAGAGGGAGGGAAGCAAGGAGCCAGAGACAGGGCAGGCAGGAGGGGCGCGCAGGGACAGCGGGCGAAGGGGGGCACGGGCCCAGCTCGGCGGGCAACGGGTGAGACGGTATCGGCTCATCTCGTTCTACAGCGCACGCGGCTGTGATACTGGAAAAAGGGAAGGGGGGGGCAGGAGGCGGAGGCGGAGAAACAAGGGCATTCACTGCCACAGCGGCGGCCCGTGGCCAGGCGACCATCCGCCTACCTCCACGCCCAGGGCGGGATCGTGGAGGCGTCGCAAAATGGCCAGCGGGTTTTTCCCTGTGAAGGGAACGTGACAATCGCTGGGCTATTCGCGAGCTCTCCCTCTCCGCCTCCCCGCGCCGGCAGGCGCTCACGTGCTTGGCAATCGTGTCCAAGGTCTGCCGTGCCGTCTCCCCCCAGCCGCCGCTGTGGGATTCGATGGCCATTGGGGCAAAAGGCATACCCGCGCCCGTGCACAGTTCCTCTGTTGTGGCGGTCTCCCCAGGCGCCTTGAAAGACCTCTTGAAGTCCTCGTGTGCGCTCAGGACAAACTGTGGGTTCGTCGCGGCGTCTCGTAGCGCGTCTGCGCGCAGGCCCAACGTGCAAGCGGAGTCCAGGGCAGCAGGTGTCCCGCCCAGAGCTCGAAGGAAAAAGACACCGGCAGGGCGTCTCCGGGACCTTGCGACGCCCGGGGCCTCCCCGCCGCCTCTGCTGGGAGGCGCACCGTCGCCCCGCGGGCATTCTGGGCTTCTCCCTCTCTGGGCCCATATGGCCCCTCGATGCGTCTTCGAACAACGAGTCCCGCAAGCGCTTGTGGCGGACCGCGCGGTCACCGCTGCGTGGGCGCGCGAGGGCGCGGTCGTCGAAGCTGTCCATGGCGCCGCCGCACATGTTGGCATCCTGCACGCGGGTCCGCAGTATCTTGAACAGAGCGGGCTCAATGGTTCGTGCGGCGTCCGCTGGCGGCGCGGCCAGCCGCGCCCCGGCCCCGCGTTGCTGCTGGAGAGAAAGGTGGGCCGCGTGAGAAACGTCGGCGGAACTGTCGCGCCTCGGGCCCTGCTCCCGCCTGGCATCCACCAGGGCCAACATCGCCTTTTGATTTGGCCCGAGAGGGGCAGCGGCCTCGGGCGAAGTGCGCCCGGCGCGCGCTCGTCTCGCTGCGCCCCGCTGCGAGTGGCCAGCCGTGTCATCGGGGTCGAAGCCAGCGCCCATGGACGCGCGCGTCTCCTTCGTGGTGTGCAGAGACGCCAAGTGCGCGGCAGTCGCGTGGTCGTCGGCCCCTCTGAGACCGAGGCCGCCCCGCTTGATTCCCAGCGTGGCTTGCCTCCACTCGCGGCCTCCAATCGCGGCGCCGAGGACTTCCTTGAGGTCCGCCCGCTGGTTCGCCGCGAACTCCTGCAAAACGCTGTCGCGCAACTCCGGCGGCGCCGTCCGCGTTGAGTATGCGAGCTTAGCGTGCGAGGCGCACTGGCGGATGAGATGGAGCGCCGCCTGGGCGTCTTGCAAAGTTGACATCTCGCGCAAAGCGCCCCCGCCATGCGCGCCCTCTTCTGCGTTTGGCTTGCGCAAAATGCCGCTGATCCGAACGGCGCCCCGAGCAGCTTGAAATTTCCGGACTCATTGAAGTTGGAGCCTTCGAACAAACCTGGCGGGGCGCTGTGCCGCCCCGGTGCTGTAGGGGCAATATCGCACTTTGCTCTGTATAGTTTCGAGCCAACGTCAGCCGTGCATGGACTTCTCGGCGAACTCGCAGAGGCGGCGCGCGGCAAATCGCGCCGTCGTCCAAGTAGATGGACACCAGGGGCGATTCCCCAGGAAATTCCCGTAGCACTTGAGCTCGCGTCTCCTGGATGATTGCATGGATGGCCAGAACGAACAGGGCCGGGCCGAGAGGGTCGCCCTGCTGCGCCCCCCCTGCGGACTCCAAGCGGCTACTGCCCATTCTGAGATTGGTCGGCCCGCCGTAGCAGAAGTCCACCCGCAAGGCTAGCTCGGGCACCGCTCTCCGGACTGCTTGCCGAACCTGTGAACGGTCTACCGTGTTGAAGGCGTTCGAGAGGTCCAACGTGGCCAGGGCGCTGTCGGCGTCGGCGCCGTGGCGCCCCATCCACTGCCGAACGGTGCGCCCGACCGCCTCGCAGCCAGATTTTGCGCCCTCTCCGACTTGCAGCGGTTCTAGATAAGAGCGCACCTCCTCTGCGGCCGCTGCGGCCAGGAGCTTGCCAGTCACCCGCCGAAGCATCTCCCCAACAGCAGCGGGTCGGAGACCGCCGCCCTGTTTCTGCAGCGCTGCCAGAGCGCCGCCGCGTAGCCAGGGCCGCGCTACAGTCGACGCCTCACCGCGTGCGAGGAGCTCAGCGAGGGCCGTCATCTGTCGCCGCGCTTCGTCCGCCATGCCTGGGGGCAGCGCGTCTTTGAAGTGCTGTGGTCGTGGGGCGGACGGGCCGGCCGCGGAACCCTTCGGGAAAGAACGGGTTGCTTTCTCGACGTCCTCTGGCGTGGGCTGCGAGGCTGCCTGTGAGCTGATCGGCCGCAGCGCTCGCGTGCGCTCCTCTTCTGCTTGTCTGGCAAGAGGGTGCTTGTCCCGCATGTCGCGGAGCACCTCGGTAGTCGCTGGGGCTGGCGGCTCACGTGCCAGTGAGCCGCGCGCTTTGCTGCGCGAGCTTGCTTTGAGCAGGGCCGCGCGGCGCTCTTCTTCAGCGCGCGAGCGCGCGAGCTCTCTTTAGCGCGCAAGCACCCCCATCCTCGTTTCCCCCCCCCCTCGCATCGCCGCGTTATTTCCCCCCGGGTCCCCCCCCCCCCCCCCTGCCCTCCAAGGGGGGCCGCGGCGGCGCGGCGGCGGGTTCGTTTGCCGCTGCATTTGCCAGGGATCGCGCGCTTCCCATTCCATCTGCCCGAACGGCAGAGGTTGCCAACGGTATAAGGCAATTGCCGCCAAAACGACTGGGACACACCCAAACAGGTTAGACATCCACGCAGCCGGGAAAAACGTACAATATAATCAGCGAGACGATCGTCTTGAATGATCTGCAGGCGGCAGCGCCCAAATATGATCATTAACTGACATTCGCCTTTCAATGTTGGCAGCGTGCGCTGCCGCAGGCGTGCACCGTGGACCAGGTTGTTGATATGCCATGCTTTGGCTTGCGCGCCCGGTAGCGACATTGGGAGGCGGACGCCATTTGATGCTCGAATGCTCTTCCAATCTAATCCTTCAAAAAGGCCGCTGGCGTGGGCGGTTCCACGTTCTGCCGTGCGACTTCGATCGCGAGGTCGGGTGGCTAATGTGCACCGCGCAATGCAGACGAGACGCTCGTGTATCGTGTAAAATTGATAGGCGGATGCCACTTCATGCGACGGGCCCCGCCTGGTCTGATTCAGCATCGTTTCGGCTTGCATCCCTGTGCCACTTTTGTTATACATTTTCACGGGGATGTATCGCTATGGTCCTCCAACATCCTCACGAACTTCGGACTCCCCTGAGATCCGTTCGGGGATCGAACCAGCGCGCGGGTGCGCAAATGGAGGCGCGAGTCTACCAGCCCCTGGTGCGTGGAGGCCCAACTCTCCCAAGGACAGTGCCCGCGCGAGTGAAAGATTAGTGGGGGCTGCTGCCCCGCCCAAATGTTTATCAACATTCGGTCTAGCGGACCTTTAACCTCGCTGCCCAAGGAAGCTCTCAGGATGCCTCCAAGAGGCCCCCCTGAAAACCCCCAGGAGGCCAAGAGAGTGCCCCCAGAGGCTCCCAAGACGCCCCCCTCCTTCACCTCCTTCTCCTGATCTTCCCCGCCATCCTCCCCCAGGTGTTCTCCGACGGGTTTCCACAACGGCGGGGGAACACATGGCCCGATAGCCTGGCAGAGCTCTGGCCACAACGTTTGGCCATATGGGCGATTCCAAAAGCAGGGGGCGGTGTTGATTCGCCGTAGGCGTCTTCGATTACATAGCCGCACGCTGTTTTGAAACGCGAGAAACGTGGGGCCACGCGTGATTTTACGAACTGCCATTGTGAAGAAATTGCGGGACCATTGGAGGCCATTTGTTAATTCATACCATGCTGGCTACACCCACGTGTTTCCTATCAAACAGATAGCTGGGCCACGCTACACCTGGTCGCGGACAGTGCTTTGGCGCATACATTGGCCCTCACGTGAGTAATACAATGCGGCCAGATGCGCCCAGCCATGCCAGTCATTGAACACATATTTAAGCTCGGTCATGCTACAGCGTTTAACCATGTTGAGTGCACCGCGCAAAGCGTGGATTCATGGCAGTGGCTGACCCTGTACGCGAGGCAGCGTGGAGGCGGGGCTGACATGTGAAATTTCACACGAATCAGTCGCACGCGTGGTTGTCCAACGCCATGGATCCCACTCTTTCTTTCATGCCCCGCCCCGTCCCGCCAGCCCTGCCCGTCAACATTCACCTGTCACTGCACCGATCTTGCAGACGTGCTGCAACGGATTTTGGCGTGGATATCTGCCAATGCAAAATCCCGAAACGGCGAATGGAAAACGAAATTAATGTCGCGTGGATTTTGTTTAGTCTTCATTCCTGGCTAGAAAAGAATCAGCCCGAAATTAACCTCGAAATCCGGAACGAGACTCTCTAAACCATTCCGGGCCCATCCTATCGTTTCCCGACCGAAATCCGCTCTGCGATGTTGGCGCCATGACACCTGGCTCGCCCGCCCGCTAAGGCCCTCCCGCCCAGCCCGCCCGGGAGGGCCCCCGCCACGCGTGCAGATTGTCACGCGTCACTGTGCGTCTTGGGATCTGCTAACAAGTGCCCATCGCCCACTCCCAGCACAGCCTCGGGCAGGAAGGAGGAGCTGCACATGCACATGGCAGGAAGGAGGAGGGGTCGGTTAAACGATAACCGCTAACCCGTGAGAATAAACACTAGGGGATAATAAAGTTCGGGGTTCAGGGGGAGATGATCAAAGTAGCCCAACAGACCTCAGCATAATCTCGAAGTAAGAGATGATCAAGAGGAGACCAAGCCGAGCACGTTTTGAGACATCCTTGGCGTTTAGTCTTCATAGAAATATCCTCAACAATGGCTTATCTCGCTGGAGACATCCTCGACAAATCCCTTGTTTCGCTTGAGACATCCACAAACTATTGCTTATTTCGCTTGAGACACCGTCAAACTATTGCTTATTTCGCTTAAGAAAGGCGGAGAAATGGAGAAAGCGATATACAAAAACAAAAATAAAAAGAAACAATACGAAATGAAAAAGAAAAAGGAAAACATCAAAAAGAAAAGAAAACAGAGGAGGAGGAGAAAGAGAAGGAACACTCTCAAGTTCAAATGTATTAGATTTTATTTACAAGCGCTTTATGAAAATTACTAGTTCTAAGTGCTCGTGTAGGGTCGCTCATGTGCTTCAATTCCATGGATAATCAACCCCAGGGATAAAACAGTTCAAAGGGGGGGGGGGGGCATGGATAGAGAGAGAGAGAGAGAGAGAGAGAGAGAAAGAGAGAGAGAGAGAGAGAAAGAGAGATACATCATAAAAAAGAAAGGAAGGACTTAACTAGAGTATATATATATATATAAAAAGAGAAGTAGAATAAGACATGAAAAGGATAAAGAGAAGAGGAAAGGAGGATAAGACAAAACATCTGAATATTCAAATGTATTAAATTTTATTTACATGCGCTTTATGAAAATGAAAATTTTTAAGTGCTCGTGTAGGGTAGCTCACGTGCCTCGTTTTCCCTGGAGAATCAACCCCAGCGATAAACAAGTTCAGGGCGCCAGGGGGAGGAGGAGGAGAAAGAGATAGAGAGACAGAGAGAGAGAGAGACAGAGAGGCCAGGAAGGAGAAAGAGATAGAGAGACAGAGAGAGAGAGAGAGAAAGAGAGACAGAGAAAGAAAGAAAGAGAGACATAAAGAACTACAAAGAGACAGAAAGACATTGGTTTCGCTTGAGACATCCTGAAACAACGTGTTCGCTTCGCTTGATGTTGTTATCTCAACATAAGAAGGAAGTAACTTCGATGGCGAACTTTTCCCGTGATAATGAAGTTCGGCCTCCGCGCCCCCGCGCCCCCGACCAAACTCTTATTGGTCGACGATAATCAACTCTAAACACTGAAGGGGGGGGGATCCATTATTATCCTCGGCATGCGGTTACTGAGGTTCTGGGGCCCTGGAGGTCCCCTTGCCGCCCGAGACGTCCTCGGAGAGAAGGGCCGAAATTCCCAAAGCCCGTGCGGGCGCCCCGCATCCCCACGGACTCGCCGCGCGGTGCGGGCACCGCACCGCTTTGGAGCCCGGAGCAGGGCTCGGGGGCGCGCAAACATGGAGTAGCGATCCATGGATTTGGCGCGCGGTAACCAGATCTGTGAATCGGGGGAGGTGCCCTCCCCAAAATGCGGACGGCGCCGCCTCTTTCGGCGGCGGAGATCCGTGATGCCCGTGGGAACGGGACCCGTCGCTACTCCACGCCCCTTGATCCATGTTTGCGATCGCCTGATTGGATATGCTAGCCAGTGCCCATCGCTCACTCCCAGCACAGCCTCGGGCAGGAAAGAAAACTTGCACGATTGGTTGGGTGGGTGGGTTTGGCGCAACATCTCGGCTAGCACATGTTCTACTCCTACTCCTACTCCTCTCGTTGACTCGCTCCGATCTTCGTCCTCCTTATCCTCTTGATTCTCTCGCTCCGTCCTCATCCCCTCCTCTCCTCTTCCTGTTCTCCACTCCACCCCTCCCGTCCACTACCTCTCGTAGGTCGACGAGGTGTTCGGTTCCAAATACCATGTCGTACACACAAAAACTAAACAATTCATTGACAACAATGTTGCACCACTTGGCGCTTGCGACAATGGGCGTCGCGTTTGCTAGTGGTGTTTGCTTGTCACTCCCCCTACCCCCAACTTAGGCTCTGTTGCGGTCCCAATTCGGCGAGAAACTCGGTGCTGCAGCATGTTGTCGATCAACTGGAAAATTCCCACGGTTCCTTTGCCCTGTCGCCAATACTAGGTTTTTTTTTGGGGGGGGAGGGGGGGATACTGTAGAACCATGCGTGCGAAGACCAACCCGAAGTGATGCAGCATGTCGTTGATACACGGTAGCTCTAGGAATCGATCATCCATGCAACAATCTATGCTTGACTTTGATCGATTACCATGGTCAATGTATGAGGAATGTGACCAACCCAATCAAGACTTGATCAGCACCGGATACCTCAAGCCAAAACGATAGTTGCAGCTACAGCAACCGACAAGCTGACACACCTAGTTAGCTGAATGTGAAGCAGATGCTGCCACCCCCGCGATCAGGATCCAGCTAGGTGCAGTCAGCATCCCGCCCAACCCTTGACGCACATGCCGCACATACGAGCAAATAAGACGTGCAATTCAAAAAGCATCTCCTCTCGTAAATGCTGCGTCTCCCAGCCTGTCTTCTTGGAATCTGACATCAAGATGGGCTTAAAATCGTCGATGCCACCCCAAAGGGCCACGACTGCTCCTATCACCACCTCGGCTGGGCTCACAGTGTACGTGAGTTTGCAAATTTGGACACAGAAGGCAGGCGCTACGCGGGGGAGAAACACTGGAAGCACGCTGCCAACCTGAGACCATGCGAACAAGCAGGTCAGAGTGATGGCGAACACAGGACATCAGAAAACGAGATTTTGCAGTCTAAAGGTAGGCGAAACTTGACAGGGTGAAGACAAGATGATGAACGCATTTTACTTGTTCCTACAATGCAATTCGGTATGAAACGTAACAGCGCCCCCAACTGCTGGGAAGAGGACTCAACAAAGCAACCCGACCCAGGAGGAAGGTCTGCGCAAGCTGCATACAAGCGGGTGACACCTGAATGAACACTTAGTGCAAGGTGCATGCCAGGTTCAGGCGAGTGGGATACAAGCAGCAGACCACACAGCGACGAGCTGACTGCAAGCGACGAGCGGTCGGGAGGCAAGCTGGGGTCGCTCTGACATCAAGCCCCCGTACCCAGCCAAGAAAGAGAGAGCATTCCTGGGTTGATGGGGTGGGGCGGGGCCCCCGAGGAACCCGAGGTCGGGAAGCGAGGGGGGGGCGTTGAATAATGCCACCAGGCCGTCTTGCATAGGTGTGAGCCCCTTCTCACGCAAACCTCAACCTGGCATTAGGTCGGGCATGTCCCCCTACAGGCCGATTTTCGACGAAAAGTTAAACATACCAGAAACATGTTCAAACATTGTGAAAACATACCAGAAACATCGTCTCCAGACTATTTTGTTTTGCTATTTTTGAACTTTCCTCCTGTAGATGGATAGGCCCGACTCAACCCTGGCAGAACGCGTTCCGAAGCGCCCGCTCACGCGCTGCGGAAGAGGTCACTGGCATCGTAGCTCCCTGCCCAAAGACGCCCTTCCTCTGGGCAGCGGGCCTCGAGGAAGATCTGGCTGCTGATGGCGATGCCTTCTTGAGAGGCCAGGGTTGCCGCTCGCGACTCCTCCATGAGCCCATATCCTCGTGGCGGCGGAAGCTACGAGTCAGGGGAGGGTCAAAAGAGAGGGCCAGATGTCAGCGCCAGCGATAGCAACCGGGGCCTGCAAGTCAGTTATTGCAATGCTCGAGGCTGCTGCATGGAAATGCTCGAGGCCTGAGCAAGCAACACATGCGCTCAGATCAGGCTGCCTGCTTGACCTCAGAGCCCCATGCGCGCGACGCCAAGTCGAAGCTCGATCTGCTCAGCATAGTATGGGGCGATGACTGGGCTGGGGCATTAGAGAGCTGCCAGAACACGAAGAGTATACCAGGTTGCGAGGGGCATAGACAAAAACAAATCATAGTCTAGGAGCGCAGAGATGGGTACGGTGGAACCGACCATGCAACCAAACATCTAACGTCACGACTGTTGGCGTGACATGCCCCCTGGACCTCTCGACCCCACACTTGAGGCTGATTCCTCGTCCCGGGTAGTGTGATCAGCTGCTGTGTTCGCAGTGGCTCTCGTCCTCATCCCGCTCCTTGTCTCAAGCGTGCCACACCGAAGGGGACACAAGATAAGTCTCATTGTGAACAGACGTGGCGCGAATGTCATCCAACCTTATCACGTTTCGTTACTCAAGAACCGAATGCAGGAAGGTTGGCGGAGTCGTCCTGGTCGGTCACCTCTCTCTCACTCTTTGATTCTCTCTCTCTCTCTCTCTCCCTCGCACTCCTTGGACCCCTACTACTGGAAACTGCAATCCAATGCATCTAGCTTCGCAGGCGTCAAGCCAGCCTGCGTGCGCCATCATGGAGAATCCGATCACGATCATCACCAAATTGACAGCCATTGTGAC